ATTCGCCTCGCTGGTCAACCCTCTCGTCATCGGAACCTTGGTCTCTTTCTGTGGTGTTCTCGTGCCATATGCGCAAATCACCGAATTCTGGAGATACTGGATGTACTACATCAATCCCTTCAACTATCTCATGGGCTCTCTCCTCGTCTTCACCACCTGGGATCACCCCATCACATGTCGCGAATCCGAGTTCGCCATCTTCAACCCTGCCAATGGTACCTGTGGCGAGTATCTAGCTTCGTATATGCAGGGCATGGGGGCAGCGGCAAATCTGATAAACCCAGATGCGACAGAGGGATGCAAAGTTTGTGAGTACACAACCGGAACCGATTATTTGCAAACCTTGAATTTGAAGACCTATACATATGGATGGAGGGATGCGGGAATATGCGCGCTGTTTGTTTTCAGTGGATATGCGCTAGTGTTCTTGTTGATGAAGTTGAGGACTAAGAAGACCAAGGGGGCTGAATAGGAGGTGATCCGTTTTAATATGTCATGCTTTCCGCTAGACATTCCCCGCTTATGAAAATAGAAGGATGGGAGGATATTTTATTGCATTATACAGGAAAGGCGTAAGGTTGTTTACATCATTCTTGCTTTTAATGATTGATAGGATTTTTGTGTTGGTGTAGATTTATGTTATATGACCGTAGATAATTAGATTTATATGACTTGGGTACTCGAAGACCCTACTTTTACATTTACATTCTCGAGAGAGGCTGAATATACTTATATCTCCTCCACTTTTGTCTGTCTTCCGCATCACTCAACCATGCATAGCAGTAGTAGTATTGACATGAACATCCACCACGACCACCTCCACCAGCAGAGACACATAGAATCTATAAGCAAATCTCAAAGAAGCCATCTATCTACCCACACCTACCTACTTACTAACCCACTGCCTATCTACCTTTACTTATTTACTACACTCGTATACCTAGATAGAAAATTGAAATTCAACAAAAAGAACAAATTCATCCATCCATCCATTCATCTACAACATCTACTCACTTCCCACTTCCAGCACACAAATTCTAATTCCTGATGTGAATTTCAATCGCCAATCCCCAATACCTAATCCCCAATACCTAATCCCCAATACCTAATCCCCAATACAAACAACAAACATACACTCCATTCCCATTCCCATTCCCATTCCATTCCCATTCCCATTCCCATTCCCATTCCCATTCCCATTCCCATTCCCATTCCCATTCCCATTCCCATTCCCATTCCCATTCCATCCAGCATCCAGCATCCAGCATCCAATAACACTCCATACAAATTCCCCCCCTCTACCCCCCTTTCCCCCCCAATATATATATATATATATATATATATATACATACAAAAAAAACCCCTATTAAATTACATAGCATAACACAAATTAAAACGTTCTATTATACTACAAAAATTCTTCAACTCTCTTTTAATCCTTTATATAATTTCACATCTTATTACTTAATCTCTATTAGAGTTTTCTATATTCATATATTATAATATCTTAAATTTGAAATTAATAGTAAATTAATTAATTAATAATTTGATATAATTTATTCATAAAAAAATAAAAGTAAGAAAAGAATATCAAGTATTAAAAAGAAAATAAGCTAACAAGTTAAAAGACAAGTAGTAGATCAGAGATGGAAATGTGAATTTAGAGATAGTATTATATTATATGAATATGATATGAATGTGATATGAATGTGATATGAATGTGATATGAATGTGATATGAATGTGATATGAATGTGATATGAATGTGATATGAATGTGATATGAATGTGATATGAATGTGATATGAATGTGATATGAATGTGATATGAATGAATGAATGAAGAAGTAGATATATACATACGAAACATATATAGATAAAAATAAATACAAATTCCAATATTGTCGGTCGTGTATACTATGTAAATACTGAAACATGATATTTTCTCTACACTACTTCCAATCCCTTGCACTACATACTCTACTATCCATCTCTCCCAGGTACGAGTTGACTCTGCATTTCCGTCTCCGAAACCTTCAGTCCCTATACTATTATATACAATTCCCTAACCCTCCTCTTCCATCATTCATCATCCATCATTCCTAACCTCACAAATATTTCTTATGTCCCCCATTCTTCCTCTTCTTGTACAACACATAAGCGACAATCAATCCGACCTGACTACCCACCACCACAAACGCCAATCCCGCATATCCGATCCCTGATCTATGATTTTTCAATCCTTCTCCCACCGTTCCAAGTACACTACCATGACTTTCCGCTACTCTCTGCTTCAAGCTTAATACATGCGCATCCAATGCTTCATGTAATTCCTTTTTGGTGCTCTTAACATCACTAGCTACATCTCTCAGATTTCTTTCCAGACCAGAAACCGAATCGAGCTTTGAGAGAGAGGATTCAAGTCTAGAGATTGTGGAGGAGAGAGTATTGAGATTTCCATTAAGAGCTTCAAGACGAGAAATGGAGTTTGCTTGGTATTGAGAGAAATCGCGGTTAAGAGCTGTGATATGTTTCATCATTGCTTGGAGACGATTGTGGAGGTCTGCGAATTGCGCATCGGAGGATTTATATTCTGATGCGGGAGTTTCGCCAGGTGTATCCATGGTAAGTCCTCCTTGATTTTGTTGTTGACCATGTTGGTTTTGCTGTTGTTGAGGTGGATTATTGGCAGCTTGGAATTGTTGTTGATTTTGATTCCCTGGATTTTGAATTTGATCATCCGGAGTATGGGAATCGGTTGTAACGACAAATTTGAAGATTTCAAAAGAGTCTGGATTTTCTGCAGAAGCGGCAGTAACTCCAAAGACATAACCTAAAGGTAGCTTGATCTTATCGGATTGGAAACACAAGGCACCGTCAACCTCGACTTTGAAGTTATCGGCAGTTTGGCGGATATGAATTTTGGATGGGATACCTCGGTTTCGGTAGGAATAGGGGCAATGGCCAAATGCGAGGGAATCGACAGAGTGATGAGAAGAGTATTCAGTTGTGCCGTCGTTTAGGAATCCACGAATATAACCACCCTAAATGATATTAATATTTTGCGCAAGGTAGATCGCAGATACAGAAACTTACAGATCCAGCATATTGGTCAATAACCAAAGCTAATCCATCAAACTTTCCAACCGTGTATATGCTTGAGACTTTGATATCCTCATTCTTAGCATACCAGATATTCAAGTTACCACCTGCTCTCTCCGGACCAGTAGCACGAAATTCGATATCTGCTGCCCATTGTGAATGTTGCAACTTCTTTTCCGTCCATACAGCACCTCTTTGATTTCCTGGCGCAGGTGGTGTAAGAACGATTCGATTACTGAGGATATCTGGATAGTTTGGCTGTCCTATCATATGAAAATTGGGAATGGCGCGACCATTTGGAGAGATCCTATAATTGTTAATACATATTATCTTGGACACGAGGAGATTGAATTCTTGACATCGACTTACTTTCCATCATGACCGAAACTTAAATCGTTATTAAGATATGTAGCTTGGGTATATGCGACGAATGCGGCGACTGAAGTAAGGGATGCTTTGAAGAAATACATTGTGTTTATACTCGAGAACTTTCCTTAATTCTTGATAAGTTAAAGTTGTTCTTTTGTAACCACCCCGAATAAGAATAAGAACTGCCAGCGTCCTTGAAGAAAATTTCCTCAATTCCGGGAGGAAGATTCAAATGTTCATGAAGAGGACAGACAATGAATGGACGAGTACGATCAAAAGGGTTTAAATCCTTACTGTATGTAACCTTCCGAATAACTGTGTTTAATATTATTGATGTAGACACTTGGCAGGATTAATTGATCAATGGCTCGCTCGTACTCCGTTCCGTACCCCCAGGCCACTTTCTCGCGGGAGGAATTTGCGGAATTTGCGGTTTGAACTTTGATTTTTGAATTTTGAAGGAACAATTTTCGATTCTCGATGTGAGATACCATATGGAAGAAGAATAGAGACACAGCTTAATCTTCTTTTCGGCTTCGGTTCAAGTGGAAGACAGATTGCAATGTACTTTGAACTATATTGGTTACACAATAAATTCCCACCAGAGTAAGAAGCAGATTGCGAATGGGTTTCCCTAATGATTGAATGGAAGGGCCAATTTCTATGGTGAATTTATGATTGATGATATGTCGTAGAGCTATTTCCGATGGGACAAAAGCTGGATCCATGTTGTTGCGACGGGGAGTTGGGGATATATGGGAGGAGTGCGGGAGGAGTGTTGGTAGAAAGTCTTCTCTGAACGGATGGAAGCTTTCTCGCCTTCTATGGATTGTTTCTGTCTGGGAAGTTTTTGATGTTTCTGGTGTTTCTGGTGTTTCTGGTGTGGTGTTTCTGATGTTTCTATCATCCTTGTTTGGTGGGCTGTTTCGAATGACTTTTTGGTGTCAGAATGTAACAGGGGAAGAGCTTTGGGATTTCGGCATTTTCTCCATGTCGATGTACGGAGTAGACAGAAAAAGCGGTACACACTCGAGACACCACTCACCTCGCTCACACCTCACTCACACCTCACTCACACCATGCACTCTTCACTCACTCAAAACCGTACACATTGAAAACATTGACATTGACATTGATATTGAAATTTAAAGATCAAATTACAGCATTAATATCCAGTATAAAAAAATACAAAAATTACTACTTCGGAATACACCAACAGCTATTCAATACCTCGATCTACGAGTAAATTTGAATCAAATATCTCAATTTTCTGATTTGATATCGAATATTGAAGAGAGCATATATACCCAGCTATCAACGAGTAAATGAATGGAAAGAAATTCAACCCCAGCTACCGAGTCGCTCCAAATATAAACGTCGGCATTTAGAAATTCCGTCATGTAGTGGAACCAAGATGTTACTTCACATGGATTGATTTTGAAACCACAATTCCATTTCATCCATTGGAATTGAGATCCCTTTCATACAAAAGCAATTTCACACCATCTGATCTTCATATGGGGTATGACTAGATGGCAGATTTATATCCTTCAATTGCACAATGTGCAGTGGTAGCTACGGCTTTCAAGATATTGTTGTTTCCAGCATAGTTAGTCCTCTCTATCCTCCCCTCCACAAACCGACTTTCGTCCAAATTTCAATGGGACTAGGGTACTGACTGGTATCGCAGCAAGTCTACAGACTTTGAAGTTCATAGAAATTGGCTCGCGATCACGAATAGTTTGCCATTGAACGAGTGGTATATCGAAAAGACTTCAGAATGGACTCTCGATTATCCACCCTTCTTCGCATATTTCGAATTATTCCTATCAAAGTTCGCAGAATGGATTGACCCGTTGATGTTGGTGGTGAAGAATCTGGAGTATGACAGCTGGCAAACCATTTACTTCCAACGCGCAAGTGTGATTGCAACAGAGTTAGTTTTGGTATATGCGCTTCACCTGTAAGTGATGTTGATCCTCTACTCATTTCAATATTGACATACCCAAGCTTCGTGAAGACTGCCCCCTCCAATCTAAAACGTCCTTCACAAGCAGCGGCCCTTTCAATTCTACTCTCGCCAGGTTTACTCATTATCGATCATATCCACTTCCAATATAATGGTTTTATGTACGGTCTCCTCATATTGTCCTTAGTCATGGCTAGAAATGAGAGGACCAAACTAGCAAGTGGTATACTCTTCGCAATATTGCTTTGCCTCAAACACATTTACCTGTATCTTGCGCCAGCATATTTCGTCTTTTTGTTATCCGGATACTGTCTTGGGCCTAAGTTTGGGCCTAAGCGTCCGTTTGATATAAAAATTGGAAATGCCTTTAAATTGGCAGTTAGTATTGTAGCAGTATTTGGAGCTGCATTTGGACCGTTTGTATATTTTGGTCAAATGCCTCAAATCATTAGCAGACTATTTCCATTTGGAAGAGGCCTGTGCCATGCTTACTGGGCTCCAAACATCTGGGCTATGTACTCTTTCACTGATCGAGTGTTGATTTCTAGTAAGTCTTTCTTCACCCAAACATAATCTCAAGATGCTCGAACTTCGAATTTCGATGCCCTCAATTTGGTTACTAATACGAGTACAGTTGCCCCTAAACTCGGCCTCGCTGTTGATCAAACGGCTGTCAATAGTGTGACCCGTGGTCTCGTTGGGAACACTTCCTTCGCCGTATTACCCGAAGTGACCAAAGGCATGACTTTCGCTTTGACAGCCATTTTCGATTTCATTCCACTGTTCAAGCTTTACAAAAGCCCTACGTGGGACAATTTCATCGGAGGTGTAACCCTCTGTGCTTACTCTTCATTTCTTTTCAGCTGGCACGTTCACGAAAAAGCAATTCTCCTGGTCATTATACCTTTCAGCCTAATCGCCTTAAAGGATCGTCGATTCCTTGGAGCATTTCGACCATTGGCTGTGGCTGGTCATGTTTCCTTGTTCCCTTTGCTTTTTACGGCCGCGGAATTTCCTACGAAAATTGTGTACACAATTTTCTGGCTTATCTTGTTTCTCCTTGCATTTGACCGCTTAGCGCCAGCGTCAAAATCTAGAATCTTCTTGCTAGATAGATTTAGCACACTCTACATTGCGGTTAGCATACCGTTGATACTATATTGTTCGCTGCTACATCGAATCGTCTTTGGTAATAAACTGGAGTTTTTGCCGCTGATGTTCACGAGCTCATACTCGGCAATTGGAGTTGTGGGAAGCTGGATTGGATTTTTGATTGTATATTTTGAAAGTTAAGATTAGTCAATGATACCCATTTTGTTTCTGAGGAGTTTTGGACTTTATTGATAGTGCAGCAAGGGTCTAGAATGACATTTGTGAATATGCTTTGAGTTGATAATTTCGCACAAGTGCCTAAGCGAAATTTAAACAAAAGATTCGTGTTATACGAATATTTGAGAATTAGAAAGTATGAAGTCGAGCTAGAAGATGGAAGGTGGGAGGAAGGTTGAAGATGGTCAAAGAAGAGTATAGATCCCAATGAAGGTAGATCAGGATAGTGAGAATAACTGTGTGGGTGGGAGGAAGATTGAAGGTAGGGGGAGTTGGGGATGAAAGGTTAAGTGCTTGATATTGGGAATGAGTGAGCTATTATTTATACATTGGAGATTTAGAACGTTTTAGATACTGGTAGGCGTGAGTAATATAAGATCAAAATTGACTTTCAAAATAGCAATTTGCAAGTGAATTGGCCTGGGTGGGGATGAATGTGCTGTGGTGAATGAGTGGGGGAGAAGAGGAATTTTGAAGTCAAATGTTCTGTAATTTTGTAATAAGCATCTCAGACTGAAAGTCTAAGGGGGAGAATAACAATCTAGCTATCCGACGATAGTCTTAATTGGGAATATATCTAATATATGGTCCCCCTAAGGACGCTCTTATAGCAAGATTGAGGGAGTAGTAGAGATTAGAAGGAATTAGAAACAAACGTTAAAGTATTTGGCATTGGACGGGATATAGCCATGTTCAATTCGAGATGTGATGCATTCAACTAAGTACCAGAAGTGCAGACGTTCAAGGAAGAGATAACATCAATGTCAACGTTCAGAACCGTTATTTGCAGGGATATCAGCCCCCCTATTTATAGATATTATGCGATAATCATGTTTTCATAAGATATTATCGTGAATTCCAATTGATTCGATCCTTTCTCAAGGAAAACATTAGAATCATGCAAATCTGGCGCCCTGAGGGATTTGGTAGGGCATTCGAAGGACAAAGCTCGGGAGTTGAGGTTGGGTTGTTCCAAAAGCGTGGCCTGGCTTAGCGGATGCGCTAAACCCTATTAGTCAATTGCCAACGATGGCATCCGCCCGGATTTTCTTCTGGCAAAACTTTTGTGTGTTGTGAGACTTTTATGTAGATTGATCAGTCATGATTAAATTTTTTAAAGAACCGTCAGCAACGACAACATGATCTAGAGTAACCATGACCAAGAATCAATTGGTATATCGTGTAGAGGAACAATACAGCCGTTCTTTTCACCCCCCTGAATCTAGAGAGAACCCTTGGGACGATATCAACAGACCACTACTCAACACGGTATACACCGGTACGGCTCAAACGAGTGAATGTTGCCTTCAGGAACCGATAGAAAGTCAATAACAAAGAAGAAGAATTGCATCCGAGCACTTTTAAGCACTTCCCGAGTCCTTGGCAGTTAGGTCGAAATTCGAGGAGCATTACATGAGAAATGGCTATTAGTTGGAAATATTTCCCCCAAAATCATATATTTGTGGTTACTGGGTCAAATCAAAAGATAAACTGGTCAATGTACATTCATATAATAGATCTCATCTCTGGCTACATATTGAGCACAGGAAAGTTGTTTAATTCATGACATCTGAAGAATTTATATCAATCAAGAGAATTGAATACGGGTATGGGTCGCGAGTTCTCGAATTGGTCTCCGTCCTCACTAGTCCGTATCCATGTCATACACCCACGCTAAGCACAACCTCCCGACCTTTTCTTATGTTCTTCTTCTTTTCCCCAATCCACTTCTTCTTCCTCCTCTTGTCAACTCTTACAACGCGTAACAATCAACAAATTTCATCAACCATCAACTCACCACATCCACTCGACAAGTTTGGAGGATTTCTATATCACGTACCGAGACCCCTGGACGCGTCTGGAGCTCTATCTGTAAGTTTAGCTGCTGATATTGATATACTTCCACAAATACTACCCAAACGGTGGAAGGGTGGTCACAATTACCCTTTCTACAATACTCCACTCCACGTCACCGTCTGATCAAACCACCACCGATTTTTTAGGAGTTTCAACTCTTATATAAGTTTGGCGCAAAGCATATCACTTGCTCCATGGAGGGGTATATCAGAAACTAACATTCTTTCTCTCCCCCCCTCAGGATTTTTTGCTTGGTCAATGCCCTTTGACCATAACTCAATATAACAATGGTAAGATTCAAATCTCCATCTCTTCAAAGGTTATAAGCATGACTAAATTTCCTTAGGTTCTCTTTAAGAGGAAGCCAGTGCAATATGTACCGAAGCCGCATGTCGAAAATGAAGACACAGAGGTACAAACTCGATTTTACCCCAAAGATTTACTATCATCCCAGATTGGCTAATAACAGTCACAGGTCTGGCTAATTCCTGCTACTGGAGAGTATTTCTTGGAGTATGAGCAATACTTAGGCCGGTAAGTTCGACATTTTTGCCCCTCACTAAAACCCCTCCGAGGATCCGCGCTAACAACAATAGAATGGATTTCTATAGACAGGTTCGAAACTTACCCAATAGTAGTTAGCTATCAATATTTACTAACAATCTCTAGCATAAATTCATTTGCCAAATTTCTGGTCATTCTCAGTTAACTTTCTTCGATGCACTCAAGAGTGAGGTACGGGAATTCCAAGAATCGCATCGCGCTAGTGAAGGGGAAAGGCTAACATATTATAAAGTTGGCAGGCGCACAAGAAGTCGAAGAGGCATTCCCAAATCCGTTGAAGCAACCAGTTCTAAGACGTGTACAATTCTCAACTATTTCCCGAATCGATACTTTGGTGGACATTATTTTCGAAGAGTTCAGATCCGACTATTTCCCTGGCGAGGCCGTTACAGTTCATGTAGTTACAGGCGATCGACTTACTGGCACTGTTAGAGAAAAGACGCACTTCGGAAGCAAAGTTCTGGAAAATGGCACGCTAAGCGTACCTTTGACGAGATATTTCGTTAGTCTGGATGGTCGACCAAATGAAGAAGCAGTGGTGGATGACCAGCATATTACTCGTGATCGCAAGATATTCACGAAGCAAGTTCTGCGATCTTTTATTAAGAAAACCGTCACGAGAGAGGCATGGACTGGCGCGCCATGGCTGGTGAAGCACGACGTGGCTGCTATTTATAATATCGACACCAGGATCCCTCCACATCTTCGATATGAGAGTAAAGCTGCAGAAAGAAAGCAGCATCAATCTCAGAAAAAATCGGGAGGGACTGATTTTGATAATATGATTGGTAGCTTTCATGGAGGAAATGGACCACAAGCTAGACTCCCGGAGTTGAAGCCAGCACCCAAAAGCCATAAAAGCAAGCAGCTACAATCCCAACTAGCAAAGGGTAAGCAGCAGCCATTTTTAGAGCAAGCTCCTTTGAATTTCATCCCTGCACATTTCCCTCCTCATCAATTCTACCCCCAACCCCATCCCAATTACAATCCACCACAAATTCCATTCAATTCTCACCCTCCTCCTCCTCATCCTTCTCATCCCCACCCCAATTACAATCCCCCTCCTCAAATTCCATTCAATTCTCATCCTCAAGCTCCTCCCTTCATGTCTCACACCTTTCAAGTCAATGGACAATCACAACAAGCGGGACCCCACTTCCAGAATTTTCACAACTCTAGCTTTGCGCTTGCGCCTCTTGCTTCGCTTCCTCCAGCTCCTCCTCCACCACCTCCTATCAAATACCCAATTGAGGATTTGGAAGTTCCTCCCCGAGTTGATGGACCGAAACGACCCGATATCAAATACTTTTCGCAAGATAATCCAATGATGATAGGAAAACCAAAGGCCGAGGGTAATGGCATTCACATGTCATCTATTGGCCAGTTGCTAGAGACCTGGGATACCTTGAATGTTTACTGTCAAATCTTCAAATTGGACTCGTTCACTTTTGACGACTTCGTCGAAGCCTTACAATTTACATCTGAAGATGTAGACTGCGAACTGTTTGTCGAAATTCATTGTGCCGTTTTGAAGATCTTGGTTAATTCGGAAGCCGATGATGGAAAGCTACAAATTCAGTTACCGGAAATAGAGGAGTCAGACGACGAAGAGGAATCTAATGGTGAGGCCAGCGTCGCGCCAACACCTACACCAGAGCCAGAGCCAAAACCTAGGGGACGCGCTACTAGAAGTAGTCTCGCAAAAGCTGAGGCAGAAGCTTTACAAAAAGCCGCAGAACAACCTCCCGAAGAGCCCGCTGAATCAGTCAACCCTCATCGCGCAGCGGAGATGGAAGATAGTCTTGAATGGATCGAGAAGCTAAGAAAACGTGATTTCAAAAATGGTGGATGGGAAGCTATCATGGTCGGCCTCCTGTATCAACTTTCGAAAGATGAGAGGCATTTTGCCGCTTGTGAAGCACTCCTTGTTGAGCTCGCCCCCCTCGATTCGGAGCCAACACAGGAAACTGCTCGCCTACAGTACGCTAAACTTGACGTTAACCTTCGCATCAAGGCGCTCCAAATTATTTGCATGCTTACTATGGAGACTAAAGCAATTCGTGGTTACATGGAAGAGAGTAGTGAACATATGACAGAGCTCCGAAAAGAGAAGATAAAGTATCAGCGTGATAAGAAGGATGCGTAAGTTATTCAATATCATTTTGGGGGGAAGTCACTAACTGTATTAGTCATGATGCTCTCAAGAAGCTCAACGAAACGCGCAAAGCACTTGAACCACCACCCGAGCCAAGTCCTGCACCAGCTATAGAGAAGCCTGCAGAGAAAGAAGCTTCAGTCAGCGTCAACGGAGATGTAACCATGGTCGACGCCGAGGACGAGGTTCAGGACTCTCATGGAGATGAAATCATGGATTCGGATGGAGAGGCTCCTCCAACTCGATCATTACGCCGTGGATTAGATCGAGCAGCAGAGCGAAAGCGTAAGCGTGAGGCCGAGCAGGAGAAGAAAGCAAAAGCAGAAGCTGAACCCAAGGCTCCTAAACAATCCAAGGCCCTTACAAAAGTTCTCAAAGACATTCAGAAATTGCATGATGAGATCAAGCATTGCGAGGAAGAAATTGCCATTCTTGATAATGACCTTCGAGAAGCTGATTGCCCTCGTACTCGTGTACTTGGTAAGGATCGATTCTGGAATCGTTATTATTGGTTTGAGCGCAATGGTATGCCATATAGCGGTCTTCCTACCAGCTCTACTGCTGATGCTGGATATGCCAACGGCTGTATCTGGATTCAAGGACCAGATGATCTTGAGCGTGAAGGTTATATCGAAATGCGACCTGAGTGGCAAGATGAGTACCGTTACAAATTCAACCTGACTGTACCGGAAAGAAAGGTTATGGAGGAAGGTAATACTCATGTATTCAATTCTCGTGAGTGGGGATACTATGACGATCCTGAGTCAGTTGAGGGATTACTCAATTGGCTTGATGCCCGTGGAAATAACGAGTTGAAACTTCGAAAAGAACTCCAACTTTACAAGGACAAGATCACTACCCACATGGAAAAGCGCAAGGAATATCTCAACCCTAGCGATGAAAAGAGTATCGATTCTAGTCACAAGCGAATGTCGACTCGTGGAAAACAACAACCTCATGTTGATCACACAGCTCATCGATGCTTATCCTGGCACAACAATACGGCAATTGAAGAATTGGGTCATTTACATTCGGAGCAACCACGGAATCGTAAGCAAACTAAAAAAGCGGCTCCAATTTTACCACCGGCAGTTGAGGAAGAGAGACAAACCAGAAGCGAAGCGGCAAAGAGACAGAGAAAGCGTTGAATAATAAGTGTTTTACAGTTTTGAGGATGTTAGATCACGAGCCCTCGCAAAATCTACTGCTACATTTTGTTCATGGCTATCTCACATAGAAAACCTTGAGCGCGCATGGAGTTCTATGTATTTGAATTTGGCTTTGGGGGGAGTTTATGGATGGGGTTGTGGGCTTCAAAAACATATTTGAAGTTGGGAAATAAGGAAATCTCAAAAATTACGGAAGCGCGTGCATATATGGTATTTTACAAAATGGATTGGCTTGTATTTAGATGGTTTGTGGTGAGGGAAAGCATTGCTTGCGTTGCATTTGAATGGTGTTGGGGGTTGTATTTTGGTGATGAGTTAGCACTGAGAGGGGTATGGAAGAGAGGAGAGATTGAAGGTGTGTTTGTATGGAATATTATGTGCTACAGGAGGGAGTGAGTGAGCGAAGAGAGCAGAAGAGAGTAGTAGTATAGCGAGTGATGCGAATACCCAAAATACATGTGAATTTTTTGTGTAAACGGGCTTTTTTCTGTAAGATGCTTTTGTTTGTATGTGATTGTTTATGGGTGGTCAGATGCGTAACTGGGAAAAAGAGAAATGAAGGTGGTCCATTGGGGTATGATGAATTCAGAGATAGCGAGGAAGAACTATATCGGTAAGAAGGAGGCAAGGAGGCAACGATAAAACATACCCGCATAATTGAAAACTACCTACTCGAGAATATACATAGATAGATAGCATGGAAGGGGAAGAGCCTCGGGGTCGTGTGTGAGATTATAACTTGGCTTACAATCCTGATTCAAAAAAACTGATTCAAAAAAACAAACTAAATCGTACTATGATGGATGGATGGGATGATGAGAGAAAGCGGGAAAACTGGGAAGTATCATTATGATTTTATCATAGATTTGAATTGATTTATAATAACAATAAGGTTAGTTGGTCCTTGTGATGGATCATATCGTTTATGTTTTACTAATACTATACTGATAACCTTCTCGAGAACTAGGATTTTGGAGTTTTGTAACATGGCTTTAAGTAAGATTACCTAGGTACCTATATATCGAATCTTGCGAGGACCTTGGAGATAGGTTGGTTGTAGCTATATCAAAAGAATGTGTCTTATGTTTAGCTTAGGAGGATCTTTATAGAAACCATCATGTCAGGATAGATTGACCGAATGTGAATATGCGAGTGGCGATCTACCCAAGGGCGCATCGACAGCAAGTGCAATATTGGAGACACGAGGGAGAATGTATCGAAACCGAGGTATTTGCATAGCGAGAATGCGTGGAAATCTACAGAAGATCATTTCCGAATGATTCGTAGCACGCTGCGATTGCTACTTTGATAGATGAGACTACATGGATATCCATATTCGCAAAGACTCGACGTGATCGAATCTCACCGCCCACCCAGAATACCACTGACAACCTTATTCCTCCTCCGCATAACAATTTCGCAGGATGTGCAACGAGATCTACAGCGCCTGCACTAATCACAAACGCCCAGCCACCCATCCATCCACGCATTCCTCCACCTCACCGAATCGTTCGGTACTCAACTCACCCTGCACCATATAATCGCAGAGCCGCACTTTTCCCTCGATGGCCGCGCGAATGTCAGAGTTTCGCGAGGATCTTGTTGGTTGGCACTGTAAGATTCATTACGGATGAGACGAAATGTATCGAGATGTATGTGAAGAGGTGTCGCACGAGCGAGACGGGGCTCCCGCTTTCCCATGTGAAAGTTTTGATGGGGAGTTTTGGGAAGTGTGATGGGTGGGTACATCTAGAAGAAGAGGTTTGAGCTTTGGGGCGGAGAGCATGCGGAAATATTGGAATTTGCAGGAGATGGCGAATTGTATCATTGGATGTGCTGTCTGTCACTTGGTGACACGGAGGAAGCTGATACGATACATACCTCATTATGTCAGTGGAGAAGATGAGCTGGTTGAAGTGGGAACATATTTCATGCGCGAGAAGTGAGGAGGAATAGAGTTAAGAGGCATTAGACGGGAGGAATCACAAACAGCCAAGCCATATTCGACGGCACACAATAGTACTTGTTGCGTGGACTCAGAAATCCACAGTACCAAATTCTCGCTAAAAATTGCAGTGTGATTGATAACCCAGCTTATTTGAAGCCCTCCAGAAAGAAGGATACCAGGATATTCTTAAAAAAATATAATACTCTTACTTAATTTTTATACTATATATACTATATATACTATATGCAAGTTGCAATGTGTGACATTGAAAGCTGGAATTTGAATGAATGTCTGAAAAAGATGACGTTTGGTATAATTAGATAGTTTTTTTTTAAAGAGATTCCCATGAATCTATATACCCACTGTTGATATTGGATGCTTCAAGGCTAAACTTAACAAGTATTGATCAATGCGAATAATCCCACCAAACAATTTTACACTCTTTCATACTACATTACACCATTACACGAATTTCTAAAATTTTGCCCAGAGAAAATCTAGTAAGAAGAATTATCACTCTGGGTAGGTATTTTATTACAATGATAGAGGTGTTTGATTAACTGAGGTAAAAGGTAACAGGGAAAAGAGAGATTCAAAAGTTATAACATTATAAACATTGTAAGCATCCATATAATATAAATCTATTTCATAAACCTTATAACACCATCCAACTCTGACTTCCACTCTGCCCATAAAATCTCCACATTCATCCGTTACTACAATGAAGATATCTCCGTACCCCACTTCCCTCACCCCGCATCCCGCATTCCGCATCCCGTATCTCGTACCCCATAAGAGGCACCTTTCCCGTTTATATCATTTATGGAGTCGGGAATCTGGAGATCTGGAGATCTGTGGATCGGGAGATGTAGATGCTAATAAAATGGATGTGTGTGTGAATGTGTATGAATGCAGGTATTACCATGATAACAATGCTCTCTCGCAAGAATACTGTGCTTGTTTGATTCAGAGAGTTGTTTGGATATCTAGATATTGAGATGTTGAAAGGGATGAAGTGCATGTTACCGCGAGGAAGATATTTCCCCGCAAAAATCTATCTAGCTATCCGTATACCTATCTGAATATTGAAATGGATGAGATGTGTTGCTGTAACGGAGGTTGGACACTTGAGAGGAGATTCAAGATGGGAAGGTAGTAAAAGGAGCAGTGAGAAGAGTATTGAGAAATGTGGTGAACGATGTCGTGGAGAGAGTTGTAAAGAGAGCATTGAATGGCGCATTGAGTGGAGCCGTGGACAAAACAGTGAAAAGAGCAGTGAACGGGTTATTGATCAAAGCATTCATTATTCAGATGAGATCTATACCAAATAAATTAACGAAGTTCATAATAGAATTGAATTGAATTAAATCGCTTAAGATCATACAAACACCCTCTCCCACCACCACGTCCAAACGCACAATCTCCAATTGTGATATCAAGATTTAATTCCAAAACTTTTGGTAGCATTTTTTTTTGGAAACATTTCTATTTCCTTCCTTTATTTTATTGATAGTTTCGACATTCGAAACTCTCTACTGTTAACTCGATAAATCCAAATCCTGCGGGTTCTCTCGAGTTCTCGATACCTCTAAATTCCGCAACAATGACCCACCAGGTTGTAGATGGAGTCGACTTTGGTTACCTTAGCCCCGATTATATGCATTTGCAATTGCAAAATCAAGGTTTCCCCGTTGATCAAAACATGTTCTCTCATGATCATATGGCAGATGGTGGCTCCCATGATGACAATATGTTTTCTCAAAATTCAATGCATGGAGGCTCCCCTATCGACGGCGACATGCTCCACCACAATCAAATGCACGATGGTGGCTCCCAGGATGACGGCTCCCACGATGACAGCAACATGGTTTCTCAAAATCAAATGAACAATGGAGAGTATGCGATCGACGTCGATTTCGAGATGGCTGACGCACAAATTATGGATGGTACCGTCCCTGCCGATGGCACATTTTCTTCACACAAAGAAAATAACGCATATACAGCTGACAACGACATCGAAATGTCAGATGAAGGTATGATGGATGATGACATCTCTGCCGGTAACGCTATTTCTCCTCAAGGAGAAGATGGAGAGAACAAAGTCGACGATGATGCCGATGACAATGCGATCAATGCTGCTCCTGCTCCTAATGATCACAGCACTCAGTATCGCATTATGTTTTCAGTAAGTTGAAATATGCAAAGCCCCATGAGCATGTATGCGCCTTTGTCGAGGAGAATTACTAACTTCCCATAACAATAGGATTTCAACCCTCCTCCTGCTGTCCCAATCGATCCAAGCCAAAGAAGCCCATTACATGCCGCTCCTCTCGAAATCAAACATATGATTTACGAGTTCTTTTTACCGGAACCAAGAACGGTCAATTTTGATTTGATCCAATCAAAGAGTTCCGGTCGCCGACAGGAGTATAGATTTATTACAATCCCAGCTATCTTTCGAGTAAATGGAGACAGCCTAGCATACTGGAACATAAAGTACGTTACTATCAACAAGCCTCAGTGCGATGCGATGATCAGGTTCTACGGCACTCGCAATCCGAAGCCCTTGATCTTCAACCCTAAGATCGACACTGCGTCGATTACCTTCCTCAATAAAATACCAGCCTGGGGATACAACGAAACTAAAGAATGGTTGCGACATGTCCAGGGTTTATTGCCCAATGGATTTGCCTGTGTCAGATTTTTTAGATATTCACGAAGTCTCCACTAAAGGTACAAATCTTGATGATTCTGATTTGCAAGCATGTTTCTTTCGCGCGCCAGTTTGGAATGACAACTTCTGGACATGGTTTAGAGGGCTAGAAAAACTTTACTTCACAGCATCCAAGTCGGGTAACCAGTGGAAGCGAATGTTAAAGGAACCTGAATTTGCAAAATTTAAGGACTTTGTTCTCTCATATCGTGCCTCGGGTGTTGCTTTGGGTATACAGAATCCAATTCCAGCCAATAACGTGGTGGTTAGGTCTTTTGTTCCAGCTTGAATGATGATATCTGAGACCAAGTGGGACATGGAAGATTGGTAGAAAAGATTGGTGGAGGTCGGAATATGCAGGTAACGTGGAAGAAGGATAGTGGTACGAAAAAGCATTGTAGCGAACTCGCACGTTGGAGAAGGCTTGAGCAATAGAGACCGTAAGATTGCTGAGGATTGGCATGAACAGATGAAGATATAATGCTTGGGTAATGAGTGCAGGAAGATAGATAAGTCAACGGAATACAAACAAATCAAGAAACAAGAATTTAGTATCGATCCCAGTATTAAAAATGTGTACTTTGCCTATCCTTCAAGCTTGAATTGACCACATTACCACGTCCTGATCCGGAAGGATAATCCCTATGTATAAGATACAGAGCTGATAGTTCAGCACTTGCTCGCAAAGTGAAAAGTATCAAAACTCATTACACTTTGCAATCATTCTCCAAACTACATGGAATTATTGTGAGTGGCAGTGTATCCAATTTTCTGAACTAGCTAAGTTCAAGCATTCAATGTTTAAAAGATCTGAATGGTCCAATCCAATTCGGACACTTAAAGACACTTGATTTAGAATGCCACTAGTCCTTACACGACAGTTGAAGAACCAAGATTCAACTCTCCCTTGGACCTCAATCTGCTATCCAAAAGAGAAGTAAGCACTGGCTCCCTCTTATTCTTCTCTTATTCTCCAGTTCAGCACTTGCTTGATTATAAATAGAAAGAATCACAACTTATGATACGTAGAGGATGCCTGCTACCAAACTGATTCCTCACCCCTGTCAGGAATCTTCTGCGTCCAGAATACGAGATCTAGTTCACCTTTGACCCATACCCCAATCCGCTGCCAGAAAAAGAAAGTAAGCACTAAGCTCTTCTTATTCTTATGGTTTCCTCCTTCGAATCGTAGGGTTGCAATGCCCCACTCTCTCGCCCCATCTCCTGTGTTACCCTACAATCTCCTCCCTCTCCTCCCTCTCCTCCCTCTCCTCGCTCTCCTCCCTCCTTTCTACCTTTTACAGCCAAGAATCGATCGTCGCATACGCCATCTTTACCAAACCAGTTTCACACACAGTATGCGAACCCTCCATCCCTTCTCCTCTCTCCCTCTCTCCCAATCTCCCATCCCTCACTACCCCACAAATCTTCATCCCCGCCGACTCCGCCCATCCTCGTAACTGGTGCTCTCCCTCCCCCTTCCCCCTCTCACCCCCCTTCCCCCTCATCCTCCTCTCGAACGCGAGCCCCGTACCCAATTCATTCCATCCCATCCCAGCGCCCCTTTATATCCCACCACCATATCATTCCCCATTCCATACATCTTGCGTACCTTCCACGTCCAAATTTGAACTATTCTTTCATTCTTCCACCCTCTAGCAAATAACAAGCATCATCACAATATCCATCTCCCTGAACAACTCCTCCCCTCCAAAAAGAAATATCATCACAGAAAAAACATCATCCCCTATAAAGAATTCAAAGAATCAACTTTCAAGGTTGTGGTTAGGTTAGGTGCAGTGCACTTAAGTTACAATGACATAAAGTAAGGAGCTCGGACCCCATTTTTCTAACCTTAATTAATCTAGGTCACGGGTTCTGGATTTGTCTTGCTGTATTCGATTTGGATAAGTAGAGTTTGTCTCAGCGTCAATTCTTCTAGGAATTAGTATCATAGAATGAATTCAAATTCACAATTCCAACTATCTACCTATCTACCTATCCATCTACCCACCCCTATCCACCCCAAGCAAATCAAAAGAGAAACAACCTCAAACCTCAAACTATAAAAGAAATACAAAGATTATACGAATAGATCAATTGATTTAATCTGGACAGCTGGAGTTAATCTCAAGACTCTCGTATCAATTCTTCAATTCTCCAATCCTTCAGTTCTTCAACCCTCCAGAAAGCAGGATAATGGAATAAATGGGATACAGGAGAATAGAGTTACGGTTACAGTTACAATCACAATCACAATCAAAGTTATATACAACTACCTACCTACCTCTACCCACCCAACAATAACAATAATAACAATAAGAACAATCCCACACCCCCAATCCATCTCCCAAGACAAACTTTACCGAACTCCGAGTACATCACGCATAGCATACTCGTACTTATAGCATACATACATAGTAGATGTTCATCTATCTCGGTACACGTAACATCACAACTGAAATGAAATCTAACCATCCACCTATTGATATCCACCCGTACGTTCAAATTATGTAAATATCTAAATGTCTTGACTTATTTCATTCATTCATTTATTTATTCATAACTATCGCTAAGCTGATCTGAGCTAAGCTGATGAGTTGAGTTGAGTATATGATCAAAACTAGCAAGAAGCGATATGCTGTTGTTAGCTAGTAAGTAGTAGCTAGTAAGTAGTAGCCAATGCCCACCCAGGAGCTGGTAACTGGTAGCTGATAGTGACCTAGTTGTAACTAGAAGTATTCCACCTTATCCCCCCTTCCTAATACCCGACGCCTGACGCCTGCACCTGCTCATAAGATCTCATTGAGTAATGGCGAAACCATCACACTCTATCCCGACATCGGAATATCCTTTCCGATTGCTACACCAGGTGTTCCTGTTCCAGTCCCCGTTCCTATCCCCGGGGTGCCCACCACCGGTGGAACATTTCTCTCACCACCTCTCAGAAACTTTTCAGGTACTCCTCTCGCTGCCACATTAGCATTCCCAACATAAGCACCGAGTAATTTACTCCATCGATATTCCCCTCTTAATAATTTCTGGATCTCTTTATATGCATACGAGTTTACATACGGTAAACCTGTTTTTGGATCGCGGAATTTGGCGGGGTAGTGTGTTATTGCACAGAGGGTGCGTGGGGGGTGGGTTTGTGATTTAGTTTTTGCTAAGGGATGGGTTTAGTAAGGGTGTAAGGAAAATGCATAATAGCTGGAGAGGGGAAAGTAAAGGTTGAAGAGAAATTTGATTGGGCGAGGAGGAGGGCTGAAGAACTTACTAGGAGCTTTAGGAAATGTCTGGTTGAAAAGAATCCTCGTCTGTACATCTTTATTCTTAATTTCATCATCATTAAAATTGGTAAGAATTAAGCAATTCCTCAATGAATATTCCGTAACAGGTGGTTGTGGAGGAGGTGGTGGAAGAGGAGCTGAGGCTGGAGAATAAGGCGAGTGATGCTGAGAAGGGGCGAAAGAGAAAGGAGTTGTTTGAGAAGGCATTAAACGAGGATAGTTTGTATTTGGAGGTTGAAAACCGGGGAGGGGTTTGGAACCATCGAGGGATGGAGGTTGAAGGAAGAATGGAGGGACAGTGGAAGGAGCTTGGAGGGGGATGAATGGAACGGCGTGGTTGTGGGATTGGGGGAGTTGGAGAGGTCCGTTTATATGGGGAACAGCACCAGTGGTTTGTTGAGGTGGTTGGAGTCCACTTATATTTGGTACAACTCCGGATGTTTGGTTTGGTGGTTGAAGAATGCTGGTTGATGGTGGAATAGCCGGTGGCTGTGGTGGTTTGAGAACCCCGGTAGGTTGTGATTCTGGATGGGGAGGAGGATGTAGAATGTTATCTGATATTGATTCCTGCTTTAACGAAACTCCATCTTTATTCACATCACTATTAGTGACTCCAGGAGCAGTTCCAGGTGTAGAGTCCTTTACATCGCTCATTGGCGTATCGTTTGTAGCCGAACCTGGTGTAGCAGCTCCTTTCAAGGTAGTTGGTTCTACAGACCCAACTTCACTCTCTTCCTCCATCTCTCCGGCTTTTCTTTTCTTCGATTTTTCCTTGGGTTCATCCGGTTTGAGATTCTTTGATCCAAGTGCAATTAATTTCCCTCCAACCCACATCGCACGTCCACTCCACCAAGTAATAACAGGCCCATCCAATTTTCTATTATGCAATGCCGCCAACTTTAACCTCTGTTCTTCTTCCCTTTGTTGTTCTGCTTCTTCCCATCGACTTAGACTCTTGGAATTACTCTTCTCTACCCTTGCGGCTTCTGCCAATCTATCTTCCTGCGTCATGGCCGGTTTCCTTGCGGCTTCCTTTGCTGCAGCTGCTTTTTCCATGTTGGCCAATTGCTTTAACCTCTTCTTTTCCCTATCTATCATCTGCGCATGTAATTGTTCTTTACTTTTTTGAGTAGTACCACGAGCCGAAGCTCGAGTCGGCGCATCCTCTGGAGTTGGAATCCATGAAGCACGTTCGGACTTTTTCTTCGGTCTTGGAGCCGGTTTCGATGGAATCGTAGGATCGATCTTAACTCTCTTTTTGAATATTTTTGGCATGCCATCAGTCATCTTGCGCTTTTTAGCCAATCGTTCTGCCTTTTCCTTGCGCTGTAACTCTTTCTCCCCTTCGAGATCATCTGCACCGGCTGCAGGTCCTTGATCATCGTCGTCATCGGATGAATCCATTTGTACATCAGAATCGGCCTCCACATCAACAAATCCATGATCTTCTTCATTTTCATCTTCTGCGAATAGAAGCTCTAATTCATCATCTGGTTCTTCTTGTTGTAGTAAAGCATTCAATCGATTTCCTGCAGTCGAACGTTTTTGTCGTGATGTGACCATCCATTCAACCTCTCCTTCTCCTTCGCCATCTCCATCTCCGTCATTTGGTTCGCTGTCGCTGCCGCTGTCGTCATCGGACGAATTCTCCTCAGTTCGCATTGGAGTATCCTCATCAATATCGTCGGCCATTTTTGTCGAATTGTTCTGAATGCACTATCGCGAATT